CACGAACAAAGCGATTACCAATTTGGATTTGCTGTCTGACGATATTCTTTTTAGATTACCAATTTGGATTTGCTAAATGAAGATATTCTTCATGTTAGATTGGAAATTTGGATAGTTTTGTTAGTGAACATCGATAAGCGAGTGAATTTGGATTTGTTACTGATCATTATGAAGACCTTTAATCGATCACTCATTTCGATAGATACAATTTTCATCTTTATCATCGAAAAGTGATGATCCAATGGATTTTTTCATTATCTCATGCTGTTTAATCCACTCTATGGATTAGCATAGATAAGAACGAATTCAAAAAGAAACAGTTTTCTATGTTTACATTGCGTTTTTTAAAAAACCCGGCTTGCGGCTCGCCAAAAATTTCAAATTTTGAAAAATGGCTCGGAGTATAAAAAGCTTGGCCACCCCTGCTATAGATGATGATGAATACGAAAAAAAAAACAATGACAACAACCATAATCTATTGATAATCATTTTATTTTCTCTCTTTTGTTGTTGCTTTGGTTATTGTTGTTGTGATACTCTATATCTCATATACTCACACCTAATTTCAAACATAACACTTTAAAAAAATGTTGTTTGTGTGTGTTAATAGGAATCGAAATGAAAAGAATCAAACAACAGAATTTTTTTTGAAAAATAATATTTTCATTATTGACATTACAGATATTTGTTGTTGTTGTTGTTGAAGATTTATTTTATTAATAGAATATTATCATCATTCCGCCTACTATTACATTCATTATTGAATTTATATGTATTTTTTTATTTACAGAATCATAAACAACGACGACGACGAAAAAGAAGACGACAATCGTATGGAGTTTGTAATAGGAAAAAATCATTGATGTCATCATTCCAGTCTGGTATACAGAAACGACATTCCATTCGAAAATAAGCAAAAGAGCGAGCGAGAATATTCTTTATCATTCATTCCATTTTTTATTCATCATCATCTTCATCATTTTCTTGTGTTTCGTCTTCTTCCGTGTGTAAACGCAAGAGAAAGAAAAAAAAGAGAATCTAGTTCAACAAGATTTTTGTTTTTTTCTTCTCAACATTAATTCATTGAATTAAAAAAAAAATAGCAAACGAAGAACAAAATCAAAGTGATCTTCACAGAATTTATAAAAATTCTTCAATGAATGAATTGTCGATATTTGATTGATCATCATTATCTCATAGGCCAATTAATTTTTTTCGACAATAAGATTATTTTTTCCACAGAAAATTTAAATTAATTAATTGTTTTAAATATTTTCAAAAAAAAGAATTTCAACTTTTTTAAAATTCACATCTGTTTTTCTTTGTTGAATTTGTTGTGTGCGTGTGTTTTTGTTCGTCAGTCGTCGTAATTTGATTTGAAATCTTTGCAACTTTTACAGTGTGTTTTTGTTTTCTTTCAAATTATTCGAACATTGACATTCTCTTTTATTCTTGGATTATTGTTTAATCGATAAAAACCAAATTTGTTTTTCATATTCCAAAACCCTTTAACAATTTGTTTTGTTTCCGTCCTAAATTAATTTTCAGCAAAATTCAATTAAATTGCAATCATCATCATTAATTTTACAATCATCAACAATGGCATTAGCAGGATTGAAAAAACAATTCAACAAAGCCAATCAGGTGGGTGTTTTGTTATGTTTTTTTGTCGTCTCTCCATTCCATTTGATCTATTAATAGAAATCTTATTAATTATTAAATTCAATTTATGAGTTCAGAATCATTGAAAAAAAGTTTTGTTTCATAATATTCAGAATGTTTCTTATTGTTGAAATTGAAATTTTTATTTCTTATTCGATTTTTTGATTTTGTTTTCAGTACATGAACGAAAAGATTGGTGGCGTTGAAGGAACAAAATTTACCGATGAATTCACACAACTTGAAAGGGTATGTTTCGATGATTCAGATATTCTTTTATAAACTGATTTTTAATTAAAAATAGAGGACGGATCTTACCTATGAATTGGTGGACGAATTGATCAATCGGACCAAAGAATATTTGCAGCCCAATCCAGGTATAATGATTTTTTTCATTTGAAATGAAAGTAAACAATTTTTTTTAATTTTCCCTGTTTTAAAAATCTATTTTTAGCTTCACGAACAAAGCTGATGGTCAGTTCTAAACTTAAAGGTGCACCAGGTAAACCGCATTCATATCCACAACCTGAAGGTATTTTGGCCGATGCCATGTGCAAATATGGAAAAGAGATCGATGAAGAATCCAATTTCGGTAATTATTTTATTTTCAATTTCAAAAAATAATGGTTCAATTCTATAAAAATATAGCAAAAAGTTTGTCTGAAATGGGTGAAGCTTTACGAGAAATGGCCGAAGTTAAATATGCACTTGAAGATAATGTTAAACAAAATTTCTTGGAACCATTGACACATTTTCAAGCAAAAGATTTAAAAGATGTTCTGGTGAGATTTCGTTTTTTATTCATCTAATCAATCATTTTTTATCGAATTTTAATATTATTCTATATTTTAGTTTCATCGTAAAAAATTGGAAGGACGACGATTAGATTATGATTGTAAAAAACGTAAACGACAGAAAGGTACACATTTTAGTGAGGATGAAATACGTATGGCCGAAGAGAAATTGGAAGAATCATACAATTTGGCATCGATGGGCATGCACAATATATTACAGAATGAGATTGAACAATTATCGCAGATCTGTGTACTAGCTGAAGCATTATATGAATATCATAGTCAATGTGCAAACATATTGGAATCATTAAATGCTCGACTAATGGAAATGTTAGTTGCCATTATTTCATAATTAAATGATTGATTGTCGAACGGACATTATAAATTATTATTATTTTTTTTAACATAGAAAAAATGAAGCAGCCCAACGTACGTTTCAGCCATATGAACCGAAAAAACTACATGAATTAAATCTAAATGTAATGACAAACATTGGCCATGATGATCTATCACCTGGTGACGCACAAATGATGAATGGTTCGAAATTTTTTACTAATTCCTGTGATTTTTTGAATAATAATGATAAAAGACAAAATGCTGCCTCTAAATCCGCCACAATCAGCAACCATATGACAACAAATGCTTCATCCTCGACCCATTCATCCCCCTTATCAATTAAATCGGGAAAATTTTCCAATGGTTTTAGTTCGAACAATAATAATAACAATAACATCAGTACAACAGCCTATCTATTGAGAGAAAAAACTGGTCAACATAAAAATTTATCACATAGTAAAAGTTTATTGAATGTATCGAATAATAATAATAATAATAACTTTGGTAATGGTCCTAATTCTGCTTGGGCCAGTTGGGATGATAATGATCAGCCAACAAAAATTAAAAATGATAATAATGTTAGTGTTAGTAATAGTAGTAGTAGTAGTAATAAATATGATCTATTAATATCGGGGATTAATTTTGATACGACCGGTATCGATTGGAATCAATGTAAAACAAATAATAATCTTAAGCAAACCAATTACAACAACAGCAATCATTCATATAGAAATTCTTCATATCATCCATCCACTTCAAGTAATGATTATATATTTTTATGATTTTCTTTTTTTTCCTGTATACTTTCTTCTTCGTAATTTATTTTCGCTTACATTTTCTATCTGATAAACGAGATAAATTAGAAAATATGAATGGCGATGAATGGTGGCAGTTTTTTAACTAAATCTAACCATCTTTTCCTATTCTGTCCTGTTTTCATCTTTGATTAACATTTTTCTTTTTGTCTTTTCTTCTTTCTTTTCAATCTATCATTCCTTTCTAAAAATTTTTAAAATGACAATTATAACTATAGCCATTTCTCCATCAATGGAGAATCCGCCAAATAAACCAACAAATCTTTTTCTGGACACTTCAAAAGTCAATGCAAATGGTATTTCAGCTAAATTATGTTCAATATTAGGTCTTTGGTTTTGTTTTTTTAGAATTTATCTTGTTTTTTTTGCTTTGATTCATTATTATTAGCTTATTATTGCTAGATTTAATTTATTATTATATAATTAACGCTTTTTTACGAGGAATATTAATTAATGCATTTTGCCTTTCTTATTGTCTTCTTTATCTCGAATCGATTACATTTGCTATCGTTCATATTTCAAATATGATGTTTTGGTATTGTTTCCTTATTTCACCTTACTCTATCTCAATTTTCCTTCATCTTTACTTACTGCTACTATTATATTTTTTAAAAAACAAATCCAATTATTCAATAAAAGCCTCACCTCTTCCTTCTCCTGTTCGTTCTCCAGCTCGTACACCGACGGATACACGTGGCCCATGTTGTCAAGCACTTTATGATTTTGATGCCGAAAATGAAAATGAATTAAATTTCAAAGAAGGTGATATTATACAATTGGTCACAAAAGTGGATGACAATTGGTATGAAGGTTCGATTAATGGTCGTACTGGTCTATTCCCGGTTTCATATGTTCAAGTATTGGTTCCCATATAAAGAAAGAACGAACAAAAAACCCATCTCAATAAAAACAAAACAATCAATCTAACGTTCGCGTACAACTGTCAAAACCATCTTTTCGAAAAGACTATATTCTATACTTTATTTTCAAAAAAAAAAAAACAAAATATTCAAAAAAAGAAGAAAAAAAATTCTAATTTAAATTATATCCTTACATTAAATAATTATATCTGTTGATTGATTTATTGATTTTTACATTTTGGTAAGTGTTTATCAGTCTTTTTTAGCATTAATTGTTTGAATTAATTTTGTTTTTTTTTTCCGACGAACAGATTTTTGTTCTTTTTTTTCATCTTTATTCTTTGCAACAGTTTGTTTTTCTTTTTCATTCAATGTTTGTGTGTAATATTCTTATGTGTGTGTGCGTGTGTTTGAAACAATCCGAGTGAATTTAACCATATTGATAAAATACTCATCATATTTAATTAAATAAATCGCGAATCAAAACTCAAATCAACTTTTAAGCAAAATCTTGTCAATTGCATGATATAACAAATCTATATAAATATAAAATAAATATAAATTGTAGTTGATTTGTTTTTTTTCTATCAAAGTTTTTGGACAACAATGACACGAATGCAATTTTTTTGCACTATTCACTTTCTAATTCTTTCATTTCTCACCCGACAAAATAACAGAACAAATGTTTTTTTTTTCGTTTTACGGATTTCATATTTGTTTGACTAAAATTAGTTATTTAGTATCAGGTATCTGAAAGGATTTTATTTCAGCAAGAGTTTTTTTTTAATTTTCTTAATTTAGTTTAAGTTTTCAACCATAAATAACCGCTCTCTTTTTCATAAGACCATCAAATTGTGTTCGGATTTGATTTCATGATATTTATGCAACAACAACAAAAAAAATTTTTAATCGTGATTTTAGATTGAGATTATAGTTTGTGATTGTCACTTTCGGTTTGTTTTTGTGTGATGAAACTAATGATGATATTTGCAATGCATATCGGAAATTAATTTTAACAAATTGTTTTATTCTGTTTGTTTGTTTTATTCAATCTTCTTCATTGCTTGCTAGTCATTTCGTATATGATGCTAGTAGTAGTTAGGAATGTCAAATCAATCAATTAAAAAAAAGTGAATTATAATGATATAAATCCCCGGTTATTTATATTGTTTCTTTTCAAGCGTGCGTATCGAACATAAATTTGTTTGTCCATATTTATTTTTGAGATTTTTTTTCTTGGTTTGCTTGATAAAAATTCACCTATATATCCTCATCCATCCACAAATGTAAAAAATATTCCCATTTGTTTTGACAAAAAAAAAATTTAAAAAAATTTACTCCTACACACAACGCAAACACATCATATATTATGTCATGGTAATAAATTTTCATCACAAAAATAAATCAACCAAGAATTTAACAAACAAAAACCCTTAATGGAATGTTCAATTATTAATAAGATGAATAAAATTCACATTGATAAAATATCAAATTGACTGACACAGATAAGCACATCATACACACCAAAGAATGTTTTCAACAATTTGTTTTTTCCTTCTTCCTACACCCACACAATGAATTTGACAATTTGTAACAAACATCATAAATCATCATTTCATGGATCTCATCACAAGTCAATCAACAACAACAACAAATGAAGAATCATTTTTATTTTTTCATTAGAATCACAACGACAATAACAAATAGAAATATTAAGATGATTTTTTGTTCTTTCGACTTTCTGAACTGTTTGGCCAATCTTAAATCATTTCAACCTTTTTCGCCGTTTGTTTGTCTACATCCATCATTCTTTTGAATTGCTATGAATTTGCTGTTTTTTTTTCATTTCATCATCATCATCACCAGCATCAACGTCATCAGTGGATTATATTGTGATTTTGTCGTTTTGTTCTTTTTCTTTTTTGCTGTTCTGCCTGTCAAATTTAATCCAAAAAAGCTTATTCTATCTAAAATCAATATTTATTCAATAATTATAATTTTAACATTGATTTATCTGTATTTCTGATTGATTGAATGAATAAAACAATATGACACTTAATATATTTTAATTGCAACAACAACAAAATGATTGATAATAAAAACAAATTTAATCGAGTGATTTTTTATGTGTGAAAATGATATACTTATTATTTTAATTATCATGTTTAGTTGTCACCCATGCCAATGCCCATTTAAGATTGGTTAGCATAAATTTCAATGCTTTTGTCCAATTCTCTTCAATATTGATTGAAATCCTGGATCGGAATTTGAAAATTTTGAATACAAATGAAAACATTTATAAACTATGCTTACTTGATCGAATATCGAACGTTATTGGTCTTTTCATAGATTTCACCTTTCGAATGCATTCTATGGATAAATTAGATTGATTATCATTATGGTTGACGAATAAAAAAAATGAATAAAAAATAAATGACTTACTCATATGGTAATTTAAAATTTCGATCTTGGAGCCGTATTTCATCGTAAAATTGTTGTAAACAATCAAGAAAGGCGACCATTGCTTGATCAAATTTTTGATGAAAATAATATTTAAAGCCACCAGCCGTATATAATGGCAATTGTTTTGATTTATCGTCCAATAAATCGATAAACGAAAAATTTCCATACGGTACAATTTTATATCGTTGAAAAGTGAATCCAAGTTTTTTAGCTAATGACACTAATAATAATGCACATTGTCCCCAGGCAGCATTGATTTCTTGCCAATCAACCGGAATGTTTGGCAGTCGGCCTAAACGAAATCCATTAATCGTACCGAATGGGCCAGTATGCCAGATACAGAACGTAAGATTAAAAACGCTTGTACGTTTAAGTCGGGCAAAATATTCTTTGGCATCTCGAATTTTATTCTCCAATGTTCGATATTCTTCTTCACATTGAAAATAATTGAATTTCATGGCATTATATTCTTGAAAATATTTTTCGGTAGCAATTTCAGATTGTTTTAATTCATGTTTTGATTGTTTCAATTGTTTATCCAATGATTGTTGCTGTTCATTAAGATCTTTCAATTCGACAATCAAATCCGATTGTGTCTGATATAATTCTTTTAATTTAGTCTGTAGATTGTTCACCTCTTCATCAGTGGCGACTGATGATACATCTTCTTCGATTTTTTTCTTATATTCACTGAATTCATTACATTCTTGTTCCAATATCATCAGCTGTTTGTCCATTTGTTCGATAACGAAATCAGCACATTCTTCACACAATGGATGATCAATGTCCGACTGATCAGATAATATATCGAACAATTGAATTTGTAATTTAAGATCTTTACTACTTTTACTATGTGTATTTGATGATTGATCAAAACCGGAAAGCAATGTTGATGTGACCAGAGTAGATGGTAATGAGCCATTGTGTGAATCCGAAACTGGATTGATTAAACTATAATCACAGTCGTTAAGTTTTTTATTTCGAAATGAATGTATCGTTTTATGTATGACATGTGAATCGGTTTTGTGCCCATCCATGGAACTAGATTGATTCTCATTATCATCTATTCGCATTATCATTTTATCGTCGGATGATGATGAATCTCGATTTCTGGAAATTAGATCTTGAAAAGTTTCTTTCGTTATATTATTCAATGTTTGATGAAGTCTTAAGGGTTGGCAACATCGTTGACAACTGAAATTAACATCAATCGATAAAGGTTTTTTATCTTGGTGATTTTCCATAATGCTTCATTTATCAAAAATTAAAGATATAAATGATTTTCAGGTGAAAGAATTTCGACGTTCTAATAGATAAACAAATCCAGTAAGGGCATCTATCGACAGGAATAATAAAACTTCAATTTCTATATTGACCTGTGTAGCTGTTTAATTGTTTCAGTATAAATAGTGGTCACTTTGTTGCACACGTTTTTCATTCGGTCAACATCAATCGTTGTGATAAAATTAGTGATATTGGAATTTTTCTTGTGTTAGAATTCATTTGGTTTTATTTTAATTTAATAAGATGCCACCGAAAAAGAAACCCGATACGAGTAAAAAAGCCGATTTAAAGAAAAAGGAGAAAATCATTGAGGTTTATTATTCATTTTGTTGACAATAATTTGAACAGCAGATAATAATGGAATCATATTCTTTGTATTGTATTTAGGATAAAACATTCGGTTTAAAAAATAAAAAGGGCGCCAAAACTCAAAAATATATCCAACAGGTTCAACATCAAGTGAAATATGGTAATTCATCGAAAAAAGTATGTCCCTATTTGCTTCAAATTGCATAAATTAATGGTTTTTATTTTTTCAAAACAGAATCTAGAACAACCTACTGTATCGAAGAAAGATGAAAAGAAAAAAGAGCTTGAAGAATTAAATCAAATTTTCCGGCCAGTAGCATCGCAAAAAATTGACAAAGGTGTCGATCCGAAATCGGTGTTGTGTGCCTTTTATAAATCCGGACAATGTTCGAAAGGTGACAAATGCAAATTTTCGCATGATTTAACTATCGAACGTAAAAGTGAAAAGAAAAGTCTATATTTTGATGCACGAAACGAAGATGACAATATGGAGAATTGGGATGAAGATAAGCTGAAAGAGGTTGTTGAAAAGAAACATGGTGAACGGGAGAAAAAATTACCAACAACGGAGATCATCTGTAAATTTTTTCTGGAAGGTATGATGATAATGATAATATCAAATTGGAAATTATCTCAAACAAAAGTTGGATGATTTTCTTCTCGAGTAGCTATCGAATCAAATAAATATGGTTGGTTTTGGAATTGTCCGAACGGTGGTGATAATTGTCATTATCGACATGCATTACCGCCAGGATTCGTGCTGAAAAAAGATAAAAAGAAGGAGAAAAAAGAGGATATTACAATTGACGAATTGGTCGAAATTGAACGAAGTAAATTGGGCTATAATCTGACAAAAATAACTTTGGAAAGTTTTAATGAATGGAAAAAGAAAAAGAGGAAGGAAAAACAAGAAAAAGAACGTAGCGAAATGGATAGGAAAAAAGCTGAATATAGAGCGGGCAAAAATATTGGATTTAGTGGTCGTGAAATGTTTACATTCAATCCGGATCTAGCGGCCGATAATGATATGGATGAAGGTGAAGCAGCCATGGATATTGTACGTGAACAAGATAATGATGATATTGATAATGTCAAAGAGATCGATATCGATGAGATTACAATGATGGCCAATGAATCTGATAATTCTGGTACGCAATGTGCGGAAATGAAACGTAATTTTGCACAAACTGATGATGATACTGATAAGCAACAACAAAGGATAACAAATGAATCGAATGAAACTAATGGCCAAAACAATGATGACAATAATGGTGATGATATAATCAATGAACCAATCGATGAATCATTATTTGCCGATGAAGCTGAACTATTGGATGATCTAGAAAACGAACTAGATGCTGTCAAACTTAAAGATTAAAATAATTATTTTCTCCCTTCCCACAAAAAAATTTGAGCAACTGGAAAACTGAATTGTATAAAATATATTTTTCTTCAATTTTTCCCCACACCGATGGCTTTCGCTATCATGAAAGTGAATTCAAATAAATTTTTTTTTTGTAATGTGGAATGTTGAATCAAATAAAAATGAAAGTGTGAATTTTTTATTAATAATAATTATTATTGAAGATGATGACACCATCTTGTTTTTTTTCTTATCTTTTTTGGCGACATGATACAAGCCATCATCATCATCATTAAAATGAAACATTTCATGCATTTTTAAAACAAAATTTTCGTTGTTGTTGGATCCAATAAAATAATGTGCTTCGAATAAATTCACGTGTTCATCATCATTATCATCATCATCTAATTTTTATTACATTATGATTGTACGAAGACAAAGATAGAAGATAATTTTTTCTCTTTTTTTCCATCCATGTATAAATCTATCTATTCTCATTAGCATGGATGGAAATTTTTTTACATTTTCTTCCAAAATTATAATGGATTTTAATGGATCCATAATTCTGTCCAAAAAAATTTGCATTTTTTGGGTCAGAAAAGAAAATTCTCATTGAGAAGCTGAAAAGATTCGGTTGAATGAATCATCATTCGACGACGACGACATCGAACAAAAGAATTTAAATCGAAACCTAATTATGAGCAACAAACAAAAAAAAACGATAATATGATCAAATCAAATTCAATTCAATTGAATGTTGTTCTGAATTAGATAAATTAATTTACAATTACCGAATTCTTTTCCATTATTTAACTTCAAATCACATATTGAACCAAAGCCAACAAAAAAATGTGAAAATTTTAAATGTAAAAAAAAATTTAGATCTTTTTTTTGTTGATTAAATCGACCTCGAATCGACACGCAAACAACCAAACAATATACTTCAATTCAATGATAATGTCTTTTTTTCCTATAAAAAAATTATCATTTTAAAATTGTCACGAAATTCAAATCGAATCGACAACAACAAAAAGATTAAGGCTAAAGTAACCAGAGAAATTGGACAATAATTGAATGGTAAAGATTTGAAAATTTGAAAATAAAAATGTTCTACAATTGAGTTAAAAAAAAGAAAAGTTGAAATTATCTTCATCATGAAAAATATAGTTTTTTTTCACAGAATCTGATGACAAAAAAATTCTTTTAAATCGAAACGTGATTGTCTATTTCATAAGTGTTTGTTTGTGTACGTATACCATACATTAATCATTCGATTCGAACACATCAAAAATGATGATGAACCAAGCGAACGTGATGAAACACAATGCGTTACAAATACGTAATACAACCTTCAAATATAGATATTTAATCCACTGTTATTATTGAAAAAAATATCACTAATTTTAAGTGTGTCTTGAATTTGCCAAATTTTTTTTTCAAAATTCAATTCTTGTCATTCAATAAATTGTGATCAATATGGCCATCATTTGTTGTTGTTTTTTTTGCCACAAATTTCTTAATATATAAAATTATCAAGTAAATTTATGTTTTATTGATGATAAGGATTACGTGAAATGTTGTTTGATTATTAGGGGCAAAAAATGACCATAATATCAGCACTAAGGTGTTAAACCCTGTTTTTTTTTGATAAGTGCGTGTAAAGTTGAATGATCATAAATGTAATGATCGCTATTAGCGAAATGGTCTAATATTTCTTTTGTTAAACGAATTTCTCTTTGTTTTGTGCCATTCAATTGGTAATTGCTATACCGAAATATCGTATGTCGATTATTATCACAACTTAATTGATGATGATCATCCACAACAACAACAAAACAAAAGAGATAAATTTTGAAAAACAATAAAATCAATGATGATTCGATCACGATAATCATGATGATGTTGATGATGATTATGATGACGAAATTATTAAAGCCGGAAAAATATTTTGACCTTCAATTTTTATCATAGAAAATTTCATCACAAATTAGACTATTTTTTGTCTCTTTCTTTGCTTTTGTTGAACCATGTCCATTTGACATTATTGAATTCAGGAAAAAAAAGGAACATAAAAAATGGCACATAATTTAGCTAATCCTTAATTACTGTCATTCAATGAATTATATAATTCATTGATTAATTGTCCAATGAAAAACAAAATACTATTTATGAATGGTAACGGTTTTTGATCATCCATATTTCAAATCGATCATAATGACATCGTCATTATTGGATGGACATTAAATTATAAAAAAAATAAATATCACTCATATCCGATGAAAAATAATTTTCAATAGAAATAGCTTGATTCTGTTTTGATTGATGTTAATGATCATCATCATTAAATCGAAATAGACAAAAAGGAAACGACAAAAAAAAATAAAAAATAAAAACCAATCAAAGGAAATTGCTCATTTTCTCGCTGTCTTTCTTTACGATTCACACATTTATTTTCTGCATACATTTTGTGTGTTCGTCATTTTTCTCTTCTACAGTCATTCAATTAAATCGATAGTCAACACATTACTTATATCCGAATCTTAAGCAAAAAAAAATCAAAAAACTTGAAAGAAAAACTTAATCAATGCCATTTCCAATTATAAACAAGGACATTTCAATCGAAGAATCCATTATTATAAAGAATTTTAAAGTGAAATTATATTAGTGATAAAAAAGTATAGAATAAATTTAACGCAAACACTGAAAAATATAATTGAAGTATTCAAATTCTGTTTTTTTTTAATATTTCGCCCACAAGGAATTTCATCTCTTTGTTGCTAGAGAATTATTTAGTCAACTTTTTTCGATTGAATGCATTTGTGCTTGGTACTGGCCCAATGAATATGGAAACATGGAGTAAATTCAATTTTTATCGAATGAACATTAAAAAAAATTATGTATGACGGTTCTATAGAACCCAAAAAAAAACACTGTCACATCATTTTTTATTAAATATTGACTCTTAGTTGATGTTTAATGGTCAAAGGTCAGCTGCTCTGACATGTATAAAAGCAGAGCACTGACATATATTAAATTAATCTGCTTTCTGTATTTCTTTTATGCCTTTTATTATTATTGTTTATCATTAATAAACTTCATCAGGTTATGGGTCCGAGCGGCTTTTAACTGCGAATAATTAAAAATTATTTTCTTGTGATCATCATCATCATTCTTTATTTTTCTTTATTTTGTCGTACAAATTATCATCATCTTAATTGCTTAAAATGACACAATTTAATCCGAACAATGTCCAATATCTGACGTTGGGTGATGCCCCATTTCATCATTGGCTTGAATCAATAAAAGAATGCCTGACAGCTATGGACTGCGAGGAATATATCGATACCAATTTCAATTTCAATCCAACAAATGGTTTAACCAAGAAACAAAAGCAGGACATCAATCGATGCCTAAATCTGATCAAATCATCAGTCAAACATAAAGATCGTGAAACAATTTTTAATTGTACAACACCATTAGCCATGATTGACAAATTGAAAAATAAGTATCGGTCATCAAAAACAAGCAACATTTTCGATCTAATGCGACAATACCAGAAAATAAAATTCGATGGTGATGTTTCTAAATTATTCTCAGAAGTTCGTAGGAATGTCATCCAAATGGCTGAAAAAGAATTGCGAATGCCTGATTCATTCATTGTTGCAAAAGTAATCGACGTTCTTCCATCAGAATATCGTGACATTTGTACACAAGTCGAGCTATTAAATATTAAAGAAGATTCCAGTATCTCAAGTGATACATTTGAATCGATGCTTTTACGTCGTGAAAGGGAGTTGGGTGAACCGGAAAAAGAATTATCTGGTGCAACGTTAATATCGAGCAAAAAGAATGTTGCCATGAAATGCAACTTCTGCGGTCTTAAAAATCATGT